GGGCTGGCCGGGCCAGGTTCTGAGGGCCACGTCTGCAGGTACTCCATGAGGGCCCAGGCCTCACAGTGCCAGTGCACCTGCTGCCAGGAAACCAGGACTCACCAGGAGGTGGTGACCATGCAGTGTCCCAACGGGACGGCCATCCAGCACACCTACACCCATGTGGACGAGTGCAGCTGCGTCCCATCCTGTGGGACACAGGACAGCACCCACACCACCGTCTGACGCATTCTGCCCCCGCCCCACACGCCCTCCGCACCTGGAGACAGAGCGTGCACCTCCCAACCACCAAGACCTCGGGAGCCCTGCCCACCTTACACCTGCCCCAGGTGAAACCTGGGCCCTGGAGGGTGACGGCGCAGTGAGGCTGTGCTTGAGAAGGGCCCCAGGCGGGGGCCTTGCCCTCAGAGCCTCCCCCTGCCTGTTTTGGCCCCCTACCTGGCCACGAGGGCCCGCCTCGGATCCGAAACACAGCACCCACTCCGCCCAGGCTCCCCCGCTTCCTGGTGTCAGATGGCTGCCCTGGAGAGCCGTTGCACACCCGCCATTCCCACCGCAGGGCCTGTGTGCCCCGCTGCCCCTCCGAGCCGGTGGAGCAGACTCCCTCTGGCTGCCTCCTGCGGCTGACCACAGACAAGCCTGTGCCTGCAAGGCTGGCCGCCCCCAGGGAGCTGCGCCTGGCAGGCTGGCTGCCTGGCCTGTGTCTGCCCAAGGGGCGGGCCGGGGAGGGGTTGGCACCCCACGCACCCCCACCCCCACTCATCCCGCTCGTCTTGCAAATAAATGCTGAGCATCTCGCGCACGTCCTCGTCTTGGTGTCTCTCCCTCTGCTGTGGGCCAGGCTGTCCAGAGCCCCACAGGCCGTACCGCGCCCAGGGCTCTCGCTGGACCTGCCAGGAGGGCAGGTGTGGCAGGGGGCAGGGAGGCCCCCAGGATCAGTCTTGCAGAGTCAGGGGTCTTCCAGGGGCTCGAAAACACCCTATTATTTCAAACAAGTGAGGTTTATAAGGAAGCTGGACAAGCCGTGGGGGGTGGGGCACGGGAAGGCGACGCAGTGGGCGTTGGTGCAGGAAGCAGCTGCCCCGCTGTGCTCGGACCCCGAGGGAGGAGCCTGGTGTGGGGTGGGGGGAGGGCAGATGGTAAACACGCGAACCAGGACCACCTCTGGCCTCACTGTGCGGTTAGGACCAGAAGGGACCTGTGACCAGGGCGGGGCGGCCACCTGGGGAAGCTGAGGCAGCGCTGGCCCCTGCTGGGGCAAGGGGAGGGCCTCCTCACGCCACCGGCACCACATGACCTGCCTCTGCCTGCCGCGTGGTCCTGCCCACACAAGGGAATGGCAGCCGCAGGATCTACCTTTACGGAGCTCCTGCCCCACCACGGGCTGAGGTGCTCAGCTCCCGGGGAATGTGGGGGCTGGGGGCCCCGAGAGGAGGGCCTGGGGTCTCTTTAGGGCCATTCCTACGCACCTCACTGAGGTCTGGTCAGGGCAGGCTGGCCTGGGCCGGAGATGGTCCAGGAGGGCCGACAAGGTTGCAGGTACACTGCAAGTGAGGCTGGCCGCCCGCCTTGGCCACCACGAGGGGCAGCTTCTGTAAGCTGACCCTGTGTGTCCCAGTCTGGTCCCAGGGGCGCTGTGGCCAGGTCACACCCAGCCTTAGCCTTTGTTAATCTGCGTGCAAAACAACAGCACTTCCTAACCCTCACTCACTCTCAGGGCACGGCTGTTTCGATAATGATCCACATGCCTCTTACCAACTAGGCGTGTTTCCACGGCGCCTGGAATGTGAGTGCTCGTGTCTCAAGTACGTGATGTGCCTTCCACGTGCCAGGGCATCATCTAATTTAGTCCTGAGAGCCACCCCATGGCACGTGTGCCGCTATTTCTCCCACTGTACAGGTGGGGAAGCTGAGGCACGGAGCCACGCAAAGACTCGCGTCCGTAACGTGTGGGCGGGGCTCAAGTCCAGGCAGCCTGGCTCCAGAGCCCACAAGGCCAGCCACAAGCCTCTACTGCCGCCTTGTGGGGGCCGCAGCAAAAACCAGTACGGTGAACAAAGACAAAGCAATGTCACTTAAACTTCAAATATTTTTTAGAAAGGATTTCTGGTTTCCAGGCGGGAAAGTGGGCGTGTCTTCTCCCACAGAGACAAAAACTATGACAAAGAAAGAAACTGTGATATGATGGCCCCTGAAAACAAGGCAGTGGACGACCTGCAAAGCTGACGGGCATCCCGCAGAGGAGACGGCGGGGAAGCCCTGGGGCGGCGTCTGGTCAGCGATCATCGCGATGATCTTCAGAACAAAGACACGAGCTCTCGGCTGAAAGTTCTCCGGGATCTCTGAGCGAGAGTAGGAATGAACCTGCTCCTGGACCCTCGCGGGGGAGGTTTCAGGGTCTCAAGGCAAAGAGACGCCTCGGAGCGACCAGGAAGGCCAGGCAGGGACCCACACGGGACCAAGAGTCAGGCTGGGGCGGGCTTCTCGCCGGTACCCTGGCCGCGAGGAGACTGCGGCGCAGCATTTTCAAAGTACGAGGGAAGACGACTTTGAACAGCGAATTCCACACCCAGGTAAACGACCATCTAAGAGTGCCAACGAGAAAGGGGCACTTCCGACATGGAGATCCTGCTGGACTCAGAAAGCTGAGGTCCCACTGACCCTGTGCCAGAGAGCTGCCGAGGGGGTCGGGGCCCACCGAGGAGAGACGGTGAGCCCTGGGTGGCGCGGCCGGATGACCACAGCTGCAGTGAGCACGGGGTCAGCCACCCGGACACCCCGGGACACGTCGAGAAGACGCCAGCAGATCTGACGCCGAGGTTCAAGATGTCGATGAGTGTGAGTCTGTGCTCTCCCTCACGGTCAGCGCTCCCTGGTCTTCTTTCAGGAGCCTTCCCTGCCCTGGGATCAGAGACAGGGTCTTCGGGATTCTTTCCTCCACAGCGCTACGGTTTTGTCTTCTGCCCAGTTTTTTTTTCTTTTTCTTTTTCTTTTTTTTTGCGGTAAAGCACACATAGAATTTGCCGTCTTTACAGCACAAGTCAGTAACATGCGTGTCCTCACGTTGTTGTGCAACCATCTCTGTGATTCGCCCCATCTCCTCAAGCTGAAGCCCTGGCCCCTCTGCACACTCTCCCCCAGGCTCCCCTCTCCCCACCCCAGCACTACCTCCTGTCTGTGATTTGGTCGACACCGCAGACCTCGTGCAAGTTAAATCAACAGCAGTTCTCCTTTTGTGTCTGGTTTATTTCACTGACCATGAGGTTCATCTCAAGGTTCATCCAGGTGGCAGCCTGTATCCTTTCTAAAGGCCCGATAATACTGTTTAGACACCATTTTGTTTATCCATTCATCCTTCGACGGACACTCGGGTTGCTTGCCTCTTTTGGCTGTGGTGAGTAACGCTGCTATGAATGTGGGTGTGCAAGCACCTCTTTGAGGCCCTGCTTTAATTTCTCTTGGATGTACACCCAGGAACTGCTGGGTCATGCGGTAGTTCTATTTTTACTTTTTTGAGGAACTGCCGTACTGAGTTCCACAGTGACTGCATCACTTCACATTCCCACCAACGGTGTACTTGTACAAGGGGTTTAACTTCTCCACATCCTTGCAAGCACTTGCGATCTCCTGGTTTTTGAGAGCGGCCACCCCGGTGGGTGAGAGGTGGCACCTCACGGCGGCTGCGGTTCGCGTCCCCCTAGTGGTTAGTGATACTGGGCAACTCGCCATGTGCTATGGGTCATTTGCATGTTTTCTTTGGAGAAACGTCTAGTCAAGACCTTTGCCCACTGGTCTTTGTTAATCAGTTGTAGGAGTTCTTTACATAGTCTAGATATTGACCCTTTATCAGATAACGATTTGCAAATGGATCTTCCCCTTCTGTGGGCTGCCTTTCTCACTCTATGGGTCGTACTTTTTGATGCACAAAAGTTTAAAGTTTTCATGAAGTCCAATTTGTCTACTTTTTCTTTTGTTACCTGTGCCCCTGGTACACTGTCCAAGAAATCACTGCCAAATCCAATGTTGTGAAGATCTTGCCCTACGTTTTCCTCCAAGATGTTTATTGTTTCAGCTCTTACGTTTAGGTCCTTGGTCCGTTTTGCACTGATTTTGCACGTGGAGTGAGGCCAGGGTCCAGCTTCCTTCTTTCACCTGTGGGTACCCGGTGCTCCGTCTGTTGAAAGGCTGTCCCCTCCCCATGAAGTGGTGCTGGCACCCTCACTAAACGTCACTTGACCGCACGTGTGAGGCTGCCTTTCTGGGCCCTCTATTCTGTCACATTGGTCTGTATTTGTCTGTGTGCCAAGACCACACAGTTTTGATTACTTATCTTTTGTTGTAAGTTTTGAAACCTCCGGGTTTGTTTTTCTTTTTCAAGATTGTGTTGACTATTCACGGTGCCTTGAGGCTCCATATGCATTTTATAACGGGTTTTTCTATTTCTGCAAAAAAAAAAGTCATTGGGATTTTGATAGGGGTTGCCCTAAACCTGTAGATCACTTTGGGTGATACTGCATTTTAACAACACTGTCTTTCCATCAATGGACGTGAGATGTATTTCCATTTCCTTATGTCTAACTTCTTTCAGCAACATTTCATAGTTTTCATTGTGCAAGTATTCCATCTCCTTAATTCCTAAGTATTTTATTCTTTTTGATGATATTGCAAATGGGGTTGTTTTTGTAGTTTCCTTTTCATATAGTTCATTGTTCATTTGTAGAAACGCAGCTGATTTTTATGTGTTGCCTTTGTATCCTGCTACTTAGCTGAGTGTGTTTATTAGTTCTAACAGCTGAGTCTTCTACATATAAGGTCATATTATCTGCAAACAGAGATGGTTTTACTTCTTCCTTCCCAGTGTGGACACTTTCACTCCCTTTTCTTGCCTAATTCCTCTGGCTAGAACTTGCAGTACTATGTTGAACAGAAGCGGTGAGAGCAGGCATCTTTGCCTTGTTCCTGATTTTAATTAGAAAAGCTTTCAGTCTTTCTCCATTGAGTATGTTTCTTGCAGGTTTTATTTTCATATATGGGTTTTAATACATGGAGTAGTTTCCTCCTATTTTGTTGAGTTTTTTTAATCACGAAAGGGTGTTGAGTTTTGTCAGATGCTTTTTCTGTGTCCACTGCAACGACCGGGTGGCTTTCCCTCCGTTCTGTTAACGTGCTGTACTATGCTGGTATTTTCATAATGCTGAGCCATCTCTGCAATCCAGGAATAAATCTCGCTCGGTCATGCTTCTCAACTGGCTTGCTAACACTTTGCTGAGGATTTCCACACCAGTGTTCACAAGGGACACTGGTCTGCAGTTCTCCTGTGGGGTATGTGTCTGGTTTCGCTGTTAGGTACTGCTGCTTCATGGAATGAGTTAGGAAGTGTTCCCTCGTATTCAACTTTGGGGAAAATTTACAAAGGATTGGTATTGGTTCTTCTGTAACAGCCTGGCAGAACTCACGAGTGACGCCCGCAGGTCCACGGCTTCCTGTGTCAGGAATTTCTGATTACTGACTCAGTCTCCTTACTGGTCACACATCTTCTCAGACTTCCTGTTTCCTCATGGTTTAGTCTTGCTGTGTCTTGGAACTCGTCCCCTTCACCCAGCTTACCCAGTCTGTCGGTGTACACTGTTCACAGCGCTCTTACCATCTTTTCTGTTTCTGCACAGTCAGTAGTAACGTCCCTCTTTCGTCTCTGGTTTTAGTAACGTGGCTCCTTCCTCTCTGCCCCTTAGCCCATCTGGCTGAAGGTCTGTCAACTTGACTGATCTTTTTGAAGAACCAACTCTTGGTTTCACTGGGGTGTT